GCAGCACCTTCTCGATGAGGTCGATGCAGGCCTGCAGGTCCATGCCGAAGTCGATGAACTCCCACTCGATGCCCTCCTTCTTGTATTCCTCCTGCTCCAGCACGAACATGTGGTGGTTGAAGAACTGCTGCAGCTTTTCATTGGTGAAGTTGATGCAGAGCTGCTCGAAGCTGTTGAACTGCAGGGGAGTGAGGGCAGGAGCCGGTCAGGTATGCCAGCTGCTGAGTGGCCAGTGGGGTCAGCCCAGGGCTATATCCAGCCCAGTGAGAAGTGTGGCTGGTCCCCTCCCCTGTCAGGGCAGGAAGGGAGCGCTGCCCCTGGAGTCAGGACAACAACTGCCCTCTGTCAGTGCTGGACCCCACTGCCTTTCCCACGCCTGGTCTATAGCTGGCACTCAACAAACGGTTGTTGCATGTGCCAACGAGTGAGTTATTGTTCTCCCCGCTCCCAGGGCTCTCTCTACTCACGTCAAAGATCTCAAAGCCGGCGATGTCCAGGACTCCGATGAAGTACTGGCGTGGCTGCTTGGTCTCCAGGGTGGCGTTGATTCGCGTCACCATCCAGTTGAACATCTTCTCATACACTGCCTTGGCCAGTGCCCCAATGGAGTAGTACACCTGCTGCACGCTCTGCCCCTTGGTGACGTACTCGTTGCCCACTTTCACCCGAGGGTGGCACAGCCCCTTCAGCAGGTCAGCTGAGTTCAGCCCCATGAGGTAGGCGGACTTGTCGGCATCTGGTTGAGAAGGAAAGGAGTAAGCGAGCATTTTCAACAGACCTTCCTTCCCGGCCCCAGGACCAGAGCCTTTCTGAAGCATCAGGTCCAATCCCGTCTCATTGAAGAGTTGCAAATAGAGGCTTGGAAGGGCGCAAAGCTTGCCTTGATCACACAGCCAGTCTGTGCCTGAGTCAGGCTGGAGTCCAGGCTCCTTCATTCACCCTACAGCCTTCCCCCACACAGCAGCCCTGATGGCCTATGACTTTATCTCTGTTGGGTGTCTCTGGGCCAGGCCCTTCACCAGCCCTACTATTAGCATATCTCCTGCCCTCACTGCACACCCTCATCTCTCCAGGGCAGGGACTGTGTTTGATGGGAGGAGATGTGTTCTGCTTTCTGCCTTGTTTGTGCTCATCCCAGCACTGGCCCAGGATTGGGCACACTCTACTCCAGCGATTCTCAACCTGTGGGTCGTGGCCCCTTTGGGGGTCGAACGACCCTTTCACAGGGGTCGCCTAAGACCATCGGAAAACAAAAAGATATTTACATTACGATTCATAACAGTAGCAAAATTACAGTTATAGAGTAGCAACGAAAATAATTTTATGGTTGGGGGTCACCACAACATGAAGAACTGTATTAAGGGGTCGCGGCATTAGGAAGGTTGAGAACCGCTGCTCTACTCAATCGTGTGTTGACCAACTTGACTGGCTGGGAATTCAAGTTCCTAACGGCATGTTGGACAGCCTCTCCCCCAACTTCCAGCTCTCCAAATGTGCCATCCAACATACCATCTCCATTTAGAGGTAATTTATTTGTTTTAATTTCAAGCACTTTGTGATAACTGGTGACATGGCAATCATGACACCTAGGCTTGGCATTTTGATCTGGACAGATACAAAGAAATGTTCCTCAAAAGCAGACCAAGAGGAATGTTCTCAGGTGTTAGCATAGCACTGTTCACACTTTCACATCTCCTTCTCAAGGATTCTTGGAACAGCCCTGGAGAGAGCTAGGAAAGATTGTCACTGTTTCACTGAGGAAGAAACTGAGGTCCAGTGAGGCAGATGACATGCCAATGCGCTGAGCTGTGTCCTGACTCCTGGCCTGCTGCCTCCCAAACAACATGGCATAGAGCCCACCAGGAGCTCACCCAAGAACTGGGGTTCCCCCCATATACACCGCATCACTGATGGGGATGTTCAGAGCTCAGACTCTGTGCTTTCCTGGGTTTCAGTGAGACTTGGGCACAGAAGGAAAAATCCTCAACTCACTTCTGGTCTGGGCAGCTGGGGTTGAGAAGTTAGCAGGATTGTGGGGGCCCTCCCTGTCTGTCCTCCTCTCCCATGTCCCTGCTCCCATCCCCAGCCCTTACCACACCTATCCACCCCATAAGCCTCAGGTCCCTGGCTAAGCTCTAACAGAAGAGAGAGCCTGGAGGCAGGGCCTGATGGAGAGGAGATGGAGGCAGAGCCTGCCCGGGGGAAAAGTGCTACCTCTGACCACCTGCTTCCCATACTTCTGGTTTCCTCCCACTTTCTCTACCATGATCCTAACAACACTGTTGTCAACCTAGCTCCTTAACAATTGTTAAAGATACCACTTTTGGACATAGCATGGGAGACCCTGCTCCCAGAGGACTGTCTCCTCCTGGCAGGTGAATACCCAGCACCTCAGGCCTTTCCAGCACCTGCCGTCTGTCCCTCATACCTTCGGTGCCATCGGGCTCGGCCTGCTCTTCTCGTTGTTTCTGCTTGAACTTCATGTTTCCGTAGTGCATGATAGCGCCCGTCAGCTTGTAGACACCAGCTTTCTCCTCAGCAGTGAAGCCCAGCACGTCAAAGGCGCTCTGCACAGAGCAAGAGAGGCAAAGAGGCGGTTGGAGCAAGTGGCCCAGGAGCCGTCAGGAACCCTCACACTGCCTCCTCACTCACATCTGTGGCCAGGAGCTCCTCGGAGTCATCGATGGAGGCCACAGACACCTCTCCCTGAGACACGAAGGCGTAGTCGTAGGGGTTGTTGGTGACCAGCAGCATGTCTGTCCAAGCAAGGGGCAGGGCAGAGGCCAAGGAGACGGGATAAGGCAGGGGATGGGCAGAGAGGGGTTGAGAGAATGTAGGAGAGGCCGGAGAGCAGGGAGAGAGGAGAAGAGTCAGCAAGGACCAAGGAGAGACTCCAAAAGAAACGAAAATGTAGGAGGGGGACCCAGAGAGGGAGGACATTGGAGGAGTGACATCTTGGAGAAGGGGAGGCAAATAAAGAGTAGACAGAGAAAACCAACAAGGAAGAGAAAAATATGACAAGGAAAGTGTGGACAAGGAGGCAAGAGGAGATGCAGGGAGGCCCAAGGTGGTGCAGGAAAAGAAAGTCACTGAGCAGATGGAGGGAAGAGGGGGGTGAGCAGGGCGGTGGGGCAGGCTGAGGGGGAGGGCACCTGTACTGCTGGAGGAGGGCAGTTGGGCAGCAGGGACATGGGGCCCAGCTCACCCAGCAGCTCTGGCTTCTTGTTGGACAGGATCTGGTAGAAGATGTGGTAGTTTCTCTCAGCCTTGAGCTGGAAGATCACTCGGGACTTCTCCAGGAGATCTGAAGTGAGGAGAGGAGAGGAAGGCAAGTAAGGGAGGAGAGAGAGTTGATCCAGCAAAATGGTGGAGATCAGAGGAGAAGGGCTCCTACAGCAAGATGGAGAAAGCTAGGGGAAAAGCCACGAATTGAGGGAAGCAGAATACTAAAGCCAAGATGCAGATGTAGACAGAGACGGAAGATGGAGGGGAAATGTTGAGATAGGGCTGCCCCACTGGGAAAGAAGGCAGAGGAGGAGGACTGGAAGGGGTGGGTGAGGATCCTGCATACTCACAAGTCTCTATGTCTGCAGAAGCCAGCTTCCCAGTGGCCCCAAAGTGGATCCTGATAAATTTCCCCTGGGGACAGAGGAGACAATGAGTGAGGGGACTGGCCAGAAAGGACAGAATGGAGACCTTGGACCTCAGTGCAACCCACAATGTCTTAGAATTGTAAATGTCCTATTTGGCATCCCAGTTTAATATCAGTAAAACAGAGAAAGTTTGCCCACCCCTACACACCACCCAGGGATGTTGGAGCAGAAACAATGGCACAGGAATAAACACGACGAGACTGTCTCCTGTTTCTACCTCTGATATGGCCTCATGTGATCCTCCCAGTTACCTACAGTGTAACTGTTACCACCACTGTTTCACAGGTGAAGGGACTGGGGCTCAGGGAGGTGTGGGGATTTGCTGAGCAAGCGCCAAGTCCTGAAATTGGCTCCAGTGCCTATGCTTTCTTCCCACTCTCATGTGGAAGAGCTTTGGGAACAGACATAAGGAAAATCTAGAATGTGAACAAATCTGTTCCATTGCTTGGCTACGGAATAGCTGTGGTGACTCTGGGTTTCTTTTTTTAAGTTCCCAGAACTCATGGAGCCAGGCTGGCTCAGGAGGGTTTGGAGTGTGTGTGTGTGTGTGTGTGTGTGTGTGTGTGTGTGTGTGTGTGTACACGGGTGCATGCGCATGCACACTTGTTGATACCCCAAAGCCAAACACAGGACAATCAACTGGGTATGGTTGGCAACACAGCACCCTCTTTCTTTAGTTAAGGACAATGAGGCCAGTCGTCAATGGTCAAGGGCACTCACGAAGCGGGAGGAGTTGTCATTCCGGACGGTCTTGGCGTTGCCGAAGGCCTCCAGGGCAGGGTTGGCCTGGATGATCTGGTCCTCCAGGGTGCCCTGTGAAGGGAGCAGAACCTTGAGGGTTCATCTTCTGTCTGCCTCTAGGTGGCGGTGGGAAGTACAGGGGGCTGCTCCGGTCCTGGGGAATGGGGCTGGGGCTGGGTGGACTGCTTGGGGGTCTGTAGCTCCAAAGGGCCAATTTAGACACCAGAGTGTATGTCTTTTGCCAAGAAGGTCTTGGGCTCTGGGCTCAGTGGTACTTCACCACCATTCAGGGCAGAGCTTGGGATCACCTGAGTCAGCCTTCCCCAGATCCCCTCTGTTGAGCCTGTGTCCCACCCCGTACCTTGTTTGCATTGGCATTGTCCTTCTTGCCACGGTCACCTATGGCTGCGATGCTGGCAAAATACTGGATGACACGTTTCGTGTTCACAGTCTTCCCTGCCCCAGATTCTCCGCTAGTGGCAAGAGGGACCCATCAGAACCCAGGATTCCCACTGTTCTCTATTCAGAGCTCAACACTGCCCTCTTCTCCCTCAGGTCCCGTCCAGCTGCACTCCTCCACCAGCACCCAGCTCCCTGCAGAATTTGCCCATCATCACTGGTCACGCTGGCACTCCTCTGAGAGTCTAGTACCCCACATTTCTTGCAATCACAGTTTTAAACTTTTCCTTTCCTCTGCACCCCCAGGAATCAGCCTGGTTCTCCCCCCAAGCCCCTTTGTGGATAGATGGTGCTCACTCACGTGATGAGGATGGACTGGTTCTCCCGATCTGGAAGAGAAAAAGAGGAGAGGGCGATGGGGTCAGGGCTGAGGGTCCAGGACCATGACTGTGGGGCTGAGGGTGCACAGGTCAGGGCCACCAGGCTCACCTGTCAGCATGTACTGATAGGCATTGTCGGAGATAGAGAAGATGTGGGGCGGTGCCTCACTCCTCTTCTTGCCCCGGTAGGCGGCCACCACCTCAGCGTTGTACACCGGCAGCCACTTGTAGGGGTTGACGGTGACACAGAAGAGGCCTGAGTAGGTCTGGAGCAGGAGACAAGGCAGGCTGGAGGGGAGAGCCCAGACAAATGGTGGTGACAGGCAGAAGGGTCCCTGGTTACCCCAGCTGGTAACTCTCTTTTTGCAGCTGACCAGGGGCAGGAAGGGGGCTGGGGAGGCTGGGCCCCTTGGGAGAGTTCTGACCTTCTCCCCTTAAGCGAGTTGCCCTGGCCTACTTTGGTCTTGGGCCAGGACAGACTCCCTGCAGGACGCACTCACGTAGATCATCCAGGCCGCATAGCGCTCCTTGAGGTTGAAGAGCACCGCGGGCTCGTGCAGGAAGGTCAGCATGGCCATGTCCTCAATCTTGTCGAACTTGGGTGGGTTCTGCTGCAACACCTGGTCTTCCTTCACGGTCACTGTCTGAGGAGGGAGCATGGGCAGTAGGAAGGATGTGTACACTCCCAGTCTGTAGTCACCAGCTTTGCCCACTTATCTCCTTCTAGGACACAGACCACGACCTGGCCTCGCACCCCCAGCTCTTCTCTGACTAGTGTCCAGGTTGTTCCCCAGAGCTCTCCAGATAATTTGCCCACCTACTGTCTCTCCCACCCTAGGGACCACCCTAGTTTCTGTGTCTGGTCAGTACACCAGGCCCTGTGCCCATGAATATCATTGTTCATTCCCTGCTTTAAGTGTCTAGGGACACCTCGGAGGGGCTGGCAGCTCTGCCATCTGTGCTGTGCCCCTGACTCCTACGGGCAGTGCTCTGGAACATCTCAGCCGTTTACCCGACCTCCCCACTGGTCACTGTAGCTGTGGTTTGATTGGCAATGGTCAGTTTTCCATGCCTTGAGATCCTGCAGGCAGGTATTCCAGCATATTTTATAGTGGAGGAAGCTGTGGCTCGAATAATTAAATGGTTTTCTGTTATGGTGGCTAGCTAGTAGTAGAGCTGGGATCAGAGTTAAAGCCCCCAGTGGAGGCCTTCCACACCTTGATGGGACGCAGCATTCAGTCAGAATGTCTGCGAGGCACAAGGTTCTGAGCCGCTGCTGGTGACCAATGGCAATTCTCATGGACGGTGTGAAGGACCAGGGACCGGGGGCCTCTGAGTGCCAGTCACCAGCCCTAGGACTGAGCATTCAGCTAAAGAGTTTCTGCTGTTTGTATTTATCTAGGTCTAAGAGTTTTCTCTTGGTTTGGGTGAGGGGAATTTGGGAGAGTTTGTCTGTGGAGGAAACTGAGGCACAGAGAGGCGGGATACAAGTTTGAGAAGGGAGCTTCATTTGATGCTGTGGCTGGGCCCTCAATCTACAAGATCCTCCTGAAGAATAAACCAGCTGAGGTTTCCCCACTAGCATCTTCTCTGTCAAGGGGCGTGCAACGCTGGAATGGCGTCCTGTAGTGCCTGCTCAGGTCCATCTGAGCAAGGTCAGAGTTCTCACTCAGATACCGGGCTCCTCAAGGGGGCATGTCCTGCAACTCCACTGGTTTTGGCTCTTCTCCAGGGCCCATCAGCTCACACTGCAAGTTGCTTCACCCCTGCACCCCACAAAAGACCTTTCCTCCCCTTCCTCCGGCCCAGTGCCTCACGCACCTTGCCATTCTCGGTCTCAGCAGTGACCTTGCCCCCGTCCCGGGATACAATCTTGGCCTTGACGAATTCCTCCTTGTCATCAGGCACGAAGCACTCAGTACGGATGTCAAAGGGCCGGGTCTGGGCCTCCAGGCGCTCCTTTTCTGACTTGCGGAGGTACTGGGCTGCAGCCCCAAAATCGGCCATCTGGGCATCGGTCATCTTGTCGCTCCTTTAAGGCTGAGACAGGAGGGCCCAGGCCTCAGTGGGTGGCACCGCCCTCTGCACCTCCACTCCCTGCCTCACCTCCTCACCACCTGGGTCTTATCATTCTCTTCCTGTACCTCCCTTGAGAAGCACCTGGTCTAGGTCCAGCCCTCCCAACTCAGGTTCTGTTTCTCTTGCTCTCTGATGTGGAGCTGAAGGAGCATCTCTGTGAGGGGTCTGTGTGTGTGTGTGTGGGGGGGGGTGGAAATGGCTGGAGTTTGCTAAAGGGAGGTGATGAGCTGCTCAGAGGAGAGACAGTGAACCCTTAAACAACCTGGCTCCCAAGAGAAATCTGGGGCGGTTCTCACCTGGTTATCGCTTCACAAAGAATCTTGAACAGTCTGGACCATGGGTGGAGCCACAGAGGTGCAGCCAGGCAGAGAGAAGGACAGACAAGGAGAATGAAGAGCCACGGAAGCAGGCCGGTGGGGGGCGGGATGTGGGATCAGAGTTGGAAACAGAGAGAGGCAGAGATTAGAACACACAGCCAAGAAGGAAGGGCAAGGGGGGAGAGAGAGACCAAGAAGTATGACAAGTGTTGACAAAAACCAAGAGGCAAAGTAAAACCAGGCAAAGAGAGGGAAATCATCAGAGGGGGGAGAAATATGGAGACAGCCCTCGGAGGACACAGAAAGCAGGCAATGACGGATGCAGGAAACAAATGCAGATGGGAGAAGGAAACCTCCCATCTGTCAGTGGGAACTTTCCGGGGTTGGAGAAGGGAATTTCTAGCAGTACCCTTGTGCTTCCGACCGACCTGTACCCCATCCCCTGTGAAGGCAGTCCCTCAAGGTGAGAGCTCTGAGAGCTGGCCACAGAGTCCCCATCCAAACCCCCTCTTACCTGGCTCAGAGGAGTGTCTGTCTGTCTTTGCAGACTGCTCCTTTTATATCCCGCTGCCCCCACCCCCTGCCTAAATTTGGAGTCCTTCCGGAGGGACCCTCCCTCCCACCTCTCTCCCTTGCCAGCTCCTCCTCCCTTGATCCCTTGGCTCTGGAGGTGACAGGAGGACAACAGGGCCTCCAGATTTGCCCATGAAAGGTCTGTTGCCCTAGCCCCTCTGGCTCCAGGGCCTTTTTTTAGTCTTGGGCACATTCCTCCCCTCCAAAGGACTGATGGGCAGAGATAATGGGAAGACAGGACCTTCTCACATCACCTCCCCCGCTCCGTTAGGCCCTTACCTTGGTTATTTTTAACCTGAAGGGTGAGTTGAGCACACTGGATGAGGGTCACCTTCTCTCACAGGCCAGATGCTTGTCCCCTGCACCCCCAACCATGGGCTTCCCCACCCTCTCCTTTCCACTCTGGCCTGTCCTCATACAGCCTCAGGCTGGGAGCATCTCCCTGGAGTCTCACAGTGCTGGGGACTGGGAACTGGAGCTGGGATGCCCAGGGAGGGGCTCTACTGCATGACTACGTTTCCCTTTGTTAGGAAAATAATTTCTGTGTTGCTCTCTGTCAGCACAAAGGCCGTGTCTGGTTTCCTTCTGTTCCCCAAGTCTCCAAAAGGTGTCCTCCTAGGGGCTTGAGGCTGCACTGCCTTGGGACACATCTGGAGCCCTCAGCCCCTCCCCTGATGCTTCTGATACAGCAGCCAGCCTCTCAAACAGGGGGAGGGGTTCCCCGCTGCTACCACAGCAGATCTGCACTCAGATCCACAGTCTAGTGCCCTCATATACGGACTTGATCACCACACCTCCATGCCCATTCTTAGCTACACACATGCAGATTTTTTACTTACACACTTAAGCTTGTAGATTTTCTTACTTGCTGTTATGCACACTGATACAGACATTTGCACACCACATTTGCATAATAAGCTTTTACCTTCCCACTGCTATCCTCTGCTCCTGGTAGGGGGACAGAGTGAGGATGAGGAGAGACAGGAGGCATTAATTCCCAGGGCCTAAGGGAGGAGAGCTGGGAGTGGGGGTCTGCTCCCTTCCGCCTCTCTGGGTTGCCAGAGGCTGCAGGTGCTGTTGAGGCTGGCTGGGGCCTGGCAGGCTTAGGGATTTACACCAGCTGGGCCCCAGGCTTGGCTGGCATTGCATGGGGTGCGGGTGGGGCTCTGCAGTCTGTTCCCCCCTGCCCAGGTATAACTGTGGTATCCCCTCAACCTTCCTGGCTCATACTCACATGCCCTTCATCATGGGTGTCCCTAAGTGCCCCAGGCCCTCGAGGGCCCCCTTCCCAGCCTCCACTCATGCCACCTCTCAGAGGCAGTAGGTGTCAGGTCTTCAGCAGCCGTGCCTGTTATGACTAAGTGGACATTGTGTTCAGGAAACAAAGCCAGACTCCCCTGCTCTGGCTTTCCCCCAACACCCTCACACCCAGGAACATTCTGCCAGCTCCCCCCTCCTATCCCATCTACTGTCACTTCTCAATATAGCTCTAGAGTATGGAGGTGGGTAGGACAGACAGGGGTCAGCTTCTCAGAATAAGAGAGCTTTTCATTAAATATGTGCCTTTCCCCCCAAGGTCCCCAACTCCCTAGGACCTCCCACTGGCCCATTATCAGACTCAAGAATACACGTCTGTCTCCAGAGGACTCATACCCTATATCCAGTGTCCTTGGGGGGACCTGAGTCAACCTCATCTCCTGCAGGTACAAACGTCAAATGGTTACCCCCATGGGATACAGGCCACCTGTCTCCAGCTCTAGGTCACTTGAGGCTCCAGTGTGCAAGCTGGGGGGTTAGCCCATGGCCCAGTGCGTCACTGCTTGGTTCCTGTTGCTTGGGGACATGATAAGGGGCTGAGGACACCAGGTCAGGCTGGGTTAGGTCCAGGTGACAAAGACTAGGCTTTGTCCTCAGGGAACCCTGTGTTCTGAGCAGGCCAGACTCAGTGTAGGTGGAGTGGGGGGTGAGGGGGTGGCAGGCCCTTCCCGCTGTCTCCTATGGAAAGAGGAGGAGGGAAAGAGCTAAATTGGTTCCAGGGCTCTGCCCCCTTTCTGATCTGGTTTGCTCTCCTCTTCCTTTCCTAGGCCCCTCCACTCCCCCGGCTCTCACATCCAAACCTGCTCTCCATCCTCCCTCAGCTGCCTTCCAAAGCAGCTCCTCATTCTGCTGGTAGTCCTGGAGTGCGAGGGCATGGGATGGAGACGCCTGCTACAGGTGAGGAGACGAGGAGGCAGAGCCAGCTTCCTTGGCACCAGGTCGCCTTTCTTTGCCTGGTTCCATGTATGTCTCTTTCTGTCTCTGTGTCTGACTTCCTTTTCCCTCTGCCTGGTTCCCTTCCTCAAAGTCGGGCCTGGCCTCTGATTCTCCCTGGTGCCATGTTTCTGCTCATCTCGGGGTCTGACATGCCAACATTTCCGAGTCTCTACCTTCTCAAAGCCTGACCTCTGCTCGCCCTCTGCCCGTCTCATCTCTGCCTCCACATCTTGCTCCCGGGGCTTTTCCCACCTCTCTCTAATCTCACTGCTCTTGGCTTTCCTGTATTTCCTTGCATCTGAAGCTGATCCAGAATTCTTTCCTTTGCCCAGGATTGCACCTCCTCAGCTCTTCCAGCTCCTCTATCCAAGACTCACCTTCCCTTTCTCCTCTTTCATCCTCTCTCAGCACCCTCCTGTCTCACACCCACGCTCTCCTGCCGTTCTCTCACCGTCCTGCTCTTCTGCTGTCTTCTGCTCTAGGAGTTTAGATTCGCTGGTGTTTCCTGGACCTCCCTTTTCAAATGTGTCCCTCTCTTTTCTCTACTGATCTCCTCATTACTCTCCAAGTCCTTCTTAAGAAGAGGTGCAGCTTTAGGGTGGGAGAATGGAGAAGGGTGTGAGGAGAAAGGTGGGACAACCTGTGGATCTTTTCTCTTTGTTGGTTTCTCTGGTTACCCTGCCGCCTACTTTCTTGAGCTCTCTCCCTCTCTCTCCATTGCCACACTCCTCAGGTCTTTCCTTCTTCCTTCCCTATTCCCTTTCTCCCTTTACATTTCCCCTCCTGTTCTCTAATACTGGTATCCCTTCTTGCTGAGACAGACTCTCACTGTGGCTTCTGCATTTGGAGCTCAGAGCTCAGAGTGGGGGATGGAACAGGAGCTTGGCTGGGGGTGGCTGTGTGTGGTGGGATGGGGGAGATTCAGTCCAGGGCTGAACCAGGGCTTCAGGAGTCCCAGAGGGAGGCTGACAGTTTTGTTTCCTCCCAGGCCCCTACCCTCTAAGGCTGCACAGTCCCAGGCCTTTGCTAAGCAGCACAGGTTTGGCAGTGACTCCAGGGGGGCTGGGCTTATTTAGTTGGAGGGAGCTTTCTCCTTTCCAGCCCCCCAGTGACCCATCCCCTCCTTCTCCTCCCCAGAGCCCTGCTCTCACGTGACTCCCCAGTCCCTCATCTGCCTGCCTTCTTTTGAGATGGCCTGCCATAAATGGACCAAAGATCCCCCATCTTCCAGTAAGCCCAGATGAGGAGGGTCTTGGGAACAGAAGTTAACAGTGTGAAGAAACGAGGGAGAAGAAAGGAGTGCTCTGGATGGAGGGAACTAGGCCCTGGAAGATGAGGAGGAGATGAAGGTGGGCTGAGGGTACATGTCTCCTGGCTTGGTGGGGAGAAGGGCACTGGCCTCTGGGGGTGGTTGGAGACAGTGGTGGCTGTGTCTGGAAGCATAGTGGGCTACAGCTGCCAATCCTTGTACCCTCTCAAAGACCTGTCTTGGACCGGGGCTTGGGGGTCGTTACCCTACTGCCCAAGTGTATCACACCCCAGAGAGCACCCCTACACACTAAACCTCCTCCTCATGGCCCAGTTTTGGTGTTGTCAGTGGTGGTGGGAGTAGCATTGATCAGAGCTGGGGTGTATGTCCATAACAGATGGGCTGAGTGCTCTAGGTAAGCTTTCCCTGAATCTCCTTTAACTCTGAGTGTCTCTGGGCCAGGGAGAGGGCTAGGAGAAGAGGTGTCAGCTGCTGAGGAGGTGAAGGGAAGCACAGACAGTGCTGCACTGGGGATGCTCAGAGCCTCACAGGCTCCCCAGGGAGGCCTCTTGGGTTTGGCTTCTGAAGCTGCCCTTCCTCCTTTGGAGTCCCACCTCCCCTCACTCCTGTGCTTCTCCCCCTGTGTCCACGTCCCCATGTTCCTGGGGTTGGCAGGCAGTGAAGAAGAGTCCAGAGGCAGGCTCTCACATTGAGGAAAATCACTTTATTCTGCTTCCTCCAGAAGGGCCGCTCTATAGGCTCCGGGACTGGGAGCTCCGTTGGCACCCTCAGGGCTAGGCAGATCAAGGAGATGTAGCAGAGCTACTCTTCATTCAAGCCCTTTTGAAAGGAAACAAAGTCCAACTTAGCTCCGGATAGGTGGGCGTTGGGCAGGTATGGGCACAGAAAACAAAGGGGAGATGGGGCACACAGTGGGGGTGGGAAACTGCCGTGTGGCCTGACAGGGGCGCCCATGGTGGTGGGAGATGTATGCTAGGGATCCGTGTGGAGGACAAGCTCTGGAGGCTCGGGCTCTGGGGTCAGCCAGAAGGCAGCTATCTGAGTGAGGACAAGGGGTTCTCTGGGATGTCCATTTTAGGTTTGTGTTACAAGGTTGTAGGCCAAAACTAGGTGGAGAGACGCAGAGACTAGAGGTTGGGGGGAATTGAGACATACTAGGTATATATAAAGCGGGTTCTTCTAGGGTTGCTGACCACCCTAGGACTGGGGTTCACAAAATCATTGAAAGTGAGAGCTGGAAGAATCTTAGAAATCACAGAGGACTGAATCCATCTCACCCTCTCGGGCCTGTGGTTCAGTTGTGGAGGATGAATGGAGAAGAGGCACCCCTTCATGTAGGGGGCTCTGTCCAAAGGGCACTGATGTCAGGGGGTGTACTGTCATGGGGGCAACTACAGAGTCCTGAGAGTGGGAGTGGGGGACCCACCTTGGTGCCAATGTCGCGGCTCTTGGCCCGCAGCTTGTTGACCTGGGACTCGGCGATGTCCGCCCGCTCCTCTGCCTCATCTAGCTCATGCTGCACCTTGCGGAACTTGGACAGGTTGGTGTTGGCCTGCTCCTCCTGTGGGGGGTCAGAGGGGTGGGAGAATGAGGTGAGAGGGGGCCCCATGTTCTCAGCCTCCCAGCCTAGAGCACCAGCTCCCCGATGTCCCTCCTCCAGGCTCAGTCCCCAGCAGGGTCACTCACTGCTTCCTCAGCCTGGCGCTTGTAGGCCTTGACCTTCAGCTGCAGCTTGTCCACCAGGTCCTGTAGCCGCAGCAGGTTCTTCCTGTCTTCCTCTGTCTGAGGGTCAAGGGTGGTCAGGAATGAGGACCACACAGTTGTAGGAGGCATGCCCCTCACCTCACTTGTCTTTGCCTTGAATGTAATATCCTGACCCAATTCTACTTTCTGATCCTCATCAAACACTCATATTCTATTTATTATTTTTACCCTCTCCAAAAAAGGTATGAATATTTTTAATGTTTTGTATCATAAAAGGGTTTAGGGAGCTAATAGGTATCCTGAAATTGTGCACAAAATTGTGTGTGTACTGTCCTGGAAAGCAGGCTCTTTGAGGCCCTGGGGCCTCATGGAGGACAAATCCCCTGGTTCTAGAAATCAGCTTGTGCTGGCAGTGACTCTGGAATTGCAGGTGTGATGGGATCTCCTGGGCTGCAGGGAAATGACATAGACTTGATTGAGGTTAAGGACAAATGTGCATAGAGGGATGGTGACTTTTTGGATTGGAACAGAAACAAAATCTAATTGACAATATGATTCTAGAAAGCACCATAGAAAGCTGAAATCTACACCTCCCTGTGTAACTGCAAAGTTATGAGATTTGTTTGAACGGCTTTGGTGTACTTTTGGTGTATTTTGGTGGTGATGTCACCAGGTCAAAGCTCGGCTACATACTTGCTTTCTGATAACCTGTGCAGGGTGAGTTCTGTCTGGAGCTCCGTGTGTGTCAGCAGGGGACAGGCTGAGGTTGAATGCTGCGGGGGCACTCTCACCTAGGAGGCTCAGGGACTGACCTCTGAGCCAGGGAGCATTCAGGATAGGACAGGGCTCGGCAATGTGGAAATGGGCACTCCGGGGCTGCACTCCCACCCCCTTGCACTGGAAGAGGCTCACAGAGAACACTTCATTTCTTTTGGGTGTTTATCACCCTGGTTTCAGGCTGTGGGGCAGAGGGCCCTGCCCCAGAGCAGTCACAGAGCTCACACCTGGTAGGTGAGCTCCTTGATGCGACGTTCACTCTTCCTCATGCCCTTGATCGACTCTGCATTGCGCTTCTGCTCGGCCTCCAGCTCGTTCTCCAGCTCCCGCACCCGGGCCTCCAGCTTCTGCAGCTGCTTCTTGCCACCCTTGAGGGCGATCTGCTCAGCCTCGTCCAGCCGGTGCTGCAGGTCCTTAATGGTCTGCTCCATGTTCTTCTTCATGCGCTCCAGGTGGGCGCTGGTGTCCTGCTCCTTCTTCAGCTCCTCCGCCATCATGGCGGCCTGTGAAGAGGAGAGGTGACACGTGGTCTGGCTAAGTCCTCGCACACTCATTGCTCAGCAAGGAGACCCTGGAGTAGGCAGGTGGGGTGGGGAAACTCACATCCGTGATGGCCTTCTTGGCCTTCTCCTCAGCATTCCTGCACTCCTGCACTGCCTCCTCCACTTCAGTCTGAAGCTGGGACAGGTCTGCATCCATCTTCTTCTTCTGGTTGATGAGGCTGGTGTTCTGAGGGTCAGGGTGGGCAGAGCATCCATGAGTGGCTCCCAAACCTCACCAACTGACTCCTTCCAGCTGAAGCTTCCCCCCAGGAACACCCAGGGGAGCCACTCACCTGGGAGTGCAGCAGCTGCACCCGCTCGCTGGTCTCGATCAGCTCCTGCTCGGCCAGCTTTCGAGACCGCTCCGTCTGCTCCACCACCGCCCGCAGCTCCTCCAACTCGGCCTGCAGCAGGTTGTTGCGCCGCTCCACGATGGCGATGTTTTCCTTCAGGTCATCGTTGGCCCGGACCGCGTCGTCCAGCTGGATCTGGGTGTCCTGTGCATCAGGAGGACGGGCATGAGAGATGGAACAGGATGCCGGCAGGGAGCCCACCACAGTGGCTCAGGAGGAGCACATGGGCTGTCTCTGCAAAGGCTCCAGGGCAGGAGGGATCTGGAGCTGTGATGGGACACCACCGGCCAACTTGGCCACGTGGAGGCCATCTCCTGTCTGGGGAGCTGCCTTCCTGCATCCGAGAGTCTCCACGTACCTTGAGCAAGCTCTGGAGGCCCTTGACTTGCTTCTGGGCCTCAGCGGCAATGCGGTTGGCGTGGCTGAGCTGGATCTCCATCTCGTTGAGGTCGCCCTCCATCTTCTTCTTCACCCGCAGGGCCTCGTTGCGGCTGCGTGTCTCTGCGTCCAGGGAGGTCTGCAGCGAGTCCACCACCCGCAGGTGGTTGCGCTTGGCCTGCTCCATCTCCTCGTCCTTCTCGGCCAGCTTCCGCTCAATCTCTGCCTTGATCTGGTTGAACTCCAGCTGGGCCCGAAGGATCTTGCCCTCCTCGTGCTCCAGGGAGGCCTAGTGGGGGCAGAGGGCAGGGAGAGAGGGTCAGAGGCAGATAGCCAGGACACCTGGCAGAGGCAGGGGTCTGTCCATAAATTGTGGACACAAAGTGAGTATGACAGTGGTGTAAGTGGTTCACTCAAGGAATCAGAGGAGGAAGAAGAAAAGGGAATTGAAAAGAAAAAAAATAGGCCCTCAAAGAAGAGAGGGAGCAATGAAGATGAAGAGGAAAATGAAGAGAAAGGTGTTGCTACGGAAACAGGCAATCAGGCACAGAATGCAAAAAACCCCAAAGAGGGAGGCAGAGGTGGAAAAGGGAGGGGAGTGGAAACAGGAAATCTTGTCTAAAATGTAATAGGTAAAACATTTGTGAGAAGGGAATTGAGTGACTTGTTCATTCATTGCACAATATTTGTTGAGTGCCCACTATGTGCCAGGCACTGTTCTAGGCTACGAGGGTGGATTGGTGAACAAATCAGACAAAAGGGAGATGAGAACAGGGACCACAACCCCACAACCCAGAGCTCACCTTCCCCCTGCAACCCCTCACCCCCACACATACATACCTCAGCCTCCTCAAGGGCTGACTGCAGCTCCAGCTTCTCTGCCTCCAGCTGCTTGCGGATCTTCTCCAGCTCATGGATGCTCTTTCCACTGGAGCCCAACTGCTCAGTCAGGTCAGTGATCTCCTCTGTGGGAAGGGCCGGGTGACTCAGTTGGGAGCTGCCATGGTCCATGAGGGGAGGGCATGCATCTTGGAGCCTTTGTGTGGCACCACAAGTGGGCACTCTTCCCACCCCTCCCGACCTTGGGCCCCAGCGCACCCTGAAGGTTCTTGTTTTCTCGCTTGAAGGTTTCCAGGTGCTCCAGGGACTCCTCGTAGGCGTTCTTGAGCTTGAAGAGTTCAGTGCTGAGGGAACGTGCCTCCTTCTGTGAGGACTCCAGCTCTGACTGCGACTCCTCATACTTCTGCTTCCACTCCGATAGGATCTGTGGGAGCAGGATTGGGGCTCACTGCGCAGCCCCCAGCCCCAGCCCAGCCCCCACCTCC